CTGTTGTCCATCCCCCAGGGAGGAGGTCACATGTAGATCCTTTTAATGCAGTTTTTGTGATAAAAGTAGGTGCCTCGGCAGATATTCGGGTTGGCTTATACTCGAGTATATACAGTATTAATGTTACAGCTGTTTTTTCTGATTTTGAGGGGAACCTTATTAGTGAATGAAAGTACATGAAGCTTCGCTTCATCCATGTCAGTAAGGTTGCCTTGACTTTGAGGAGGCAGTTCTTTCCCAGTCCCATTTTGAGTGCTTTCCAACCTGTGTGGGTCAGCGTCTGGCACTGCATCACTACACTTGATCTTAGCCAAAAGGCCGAGAAACGATATGGCACTATATCACACACAGCCAGGTTCTAGTATAATTCATAAGCTTTTCAGTGCTAATCCCTCAGAAGTGAGTTACCTATTCCTTTTTCCTTGTCTGTTCTTAGTCTGGAAGTTCTGCTGAAACCTCTGTGACCTGGGTGACCCTTTTGGTATTTGAAATACTGGTGGCGTAGCTTTCAGCATCACAGTAATACCCAAACCATCACAGTATGACAGAACAAGCCACCACCAAACTAACAGACAGTGGTGGATTCTTAAACCGTGCCCACTAAAACACTCACCCTTGCTAGAAATGTATCTAAATCTACACTTGTCTCTGCCTTCTTTCCTCCGATCTCAGGAAATGAAGTGTCTCCATTGATGTGAAGTCTCTTTGCCAGAATTTTCTTGAGAAAAGTAAGCAACTCAATAGGACAACCCATTCAGCTTAGCACACTTCACACATTCTGGCAGCAAGGAGGCGTACTACACATTTCAAATTCATTTAAACATGTGGTAAACACTACTGTCTACATGGCTATATCATAAAATCTCACAGCCAGAGTTCAAACTTACTTTCCTTTGTCCTTCAACCATTCTGGGTTCTTCTCTTCTTCTTTCAAGTCACTGAATTCAGGAATATCAGTATTCATTGCCCTACGTGCCTCTGCTTGTTTGTGTAGCCACTGAAATGGAAACAAAGTCTTATGAAGAACACAGAGGCTTTATCTTTATAAGCAGTAATTCTCTAGAAGATGGAAACAGATTTAAATGATGGTGATCTTAAACTTCCATTTCTGGTGTAGGCTGTAAACCACAAGGTCAGCAGTTCAAAACCACTAGCTGCTCCAAGGAATAAGATGAGGTTTTCTACTTCCACAAAGACTTACAGTCTCAGAAACCTGTAGGGGCAGTTCTACTCTGTCCTATAGGATCACTGTGAGTCAGGATCAACTCAATGGCAGTGAGAGCTGAGCTGGTTGAAGTAAAACATTTGTCTCTAGTTCAACTTTCATCCTTTTAGGGAGTTTATATAATTATTATTTTGTTATGATGATATATTTTATTTTTTGACACAGAAAAACGTAAAAGTAATTTTAAAACATTCTATAATTATAATTTTCTAATAAAGTATAGAAATAATATATTAATTAAGAAAAAGGTTATTTATAAACTATCATTCTGTACAAAGGATTTTCAGTTATTTCTACAAATTTCCATTCCAGAGAGATACCACCTCACACAATGCAGAAGAAAAATGCCGTGCTTAGTGCTTATAAAACTAAAAGTACAATAGTTCAATGTATGTGAGAGAGTCTACATCTTAGGGCTCTGGAACTTCTAAATACATAAAAAGTATTAACTCCAAAATGTCACATTAGAAACACCATTAACCAGTGTTAATGATAAATTTCAAAATCCTTTCTTACCAAAACACACACTGATCAAAAGTTTATAAATCTTTCAGGCCACCACGCCATAAAGCTGGAGATCAACAAAAGGACAATCAGAAAAACAAGGGCAAACAATTGGAGGATAAATAACAATCTTTGACACAAATGGGCACTGGTCCAGATTAGAGAGGAAATTAGGACATTTCCAAAAATTAATAAGAATGAGAATACAAAGTACCAAAACCTACGGGATACAGCAAAAGCAGTTATCAGAGGAAGTCGGATAGCAATTAATGCATATATGAAACAGGAAGAGAGACTTATGACTGATACACTATCACAAAACCTCCAGCAACTAGAACAGAGTCAACAGAACAACCTCTCCAATTGCAAAAGAAAAGATAATAATAAAAATCAGGCAGAGTTAAAGAGACAATGGAAAAAATCAATGCAGCGAAAAGCTGGTTCTTTGAAAGGACCAGTAGAATTGACAGACTGCTGGCAAACTTAACCAAGGAAAAGAAGGAGCAATCATCAAATCACAAAGAACCCCAATGGGATTAAAAAGATAATCCCAAAGTACCATGAAAGTCTGTATTCTAATTAATTCAACAACATGGAGGACATGGAAAAATACTTGGAAAAACAATGCCTCCTAGATTATTCCAGACAGAGGTCAAGAATCTCAACAGACCCATAGCAAAAGAAGAAATTGATATAGTCGCCAAGAAACTACCAATGGAAAAAGCTCCCAGACCAGACGGCTTCACGGGAAAATTCTACCAAGCATTCAGGGAAGAGCTGACACCGATCCTCCACAAATTATTCCAGAGTATAGTACAAGATGACAAATTCCCCAAATCATTCTACACAGCCAGTATAACTTTGATACCTACCGTATATACTCATGTATAAACTGAGTTTTTCAGCAAATTTTTAATGTAGTTTTTGTGGTAAAATTAGGTGCCTCGGCTGATATTCAGGTCAGCTTATACTCGAGTATACACAGTAAATAGGACAAGGATCACACAAGAATTGAGAACTATAGACTGATATCTCTAATGAACAGAAATGCAAAAATCCTTAACAAGATATTGGCCAATAGAATACAAAAGTATATGAAACATATCATCCGTCATGACCAGGTGGGATTCATTCCAGGGATGCAGGGATGGTTCAACATCTGAAAATCCATGAACATTATTTGCCACATTGATAAAAAGGCTAAGAATCACCTGATAATATCAATAGACAGAGAAAAAGCATTTGACAACATCCAACACCCATTCCAAATTAAGACACTCAAAAAGATAGGAATGGAAGGAAAATTCCTCAAGTTAATATAAACTATCTACGAAAACCAGCAGTCAACATCATAGTCAATGGAGAAAAGACAAAAACAATCCCACTGAAAAAGGGGACTAGACAAGGATGCCCCTTCTCCCCACTTCTATTCAACATCGTACTGGAGGTCCTAGATAACAACATAAGGCAGTGGAAGGACATTAAAGGCATTTGGCTAGAAAAGGAGGAGGTGAAACGATCGCTATTTTCAGATACCATGATTCTCTACATTGAAAATCCCCAAAGCTCCACAACAGGAATAATGGCAGCAATAAAGGAATATGGAAGAGTGGCAGGACACAAGATCAGCAAACAGAAGTCTATTGGTTTGCTATGTTCATCGGACAAGACCATGGAAGAGGAGATCAAGAAGGCAGTATCCTTCACAAGCCAAGAACAAATGAAATATCTAGGGATATACTTAACCCAAAAAAACCAAAAGACTGACACAAGGAAAACTACAAGACCCTACGACAGGAAACCAAAAGCAACCTCCACAAATGGAAGACTATCCCATGCTCGTGCATCAGCAGACTCAATGTAGTAAAGATGTGAATCTTACCCAAGGCACTATATAAGTTTAACATTATCCCAATTCAAATACCAACAACCTTCTTCAAAAAATTGGAAAAACTAACCACCAATTTCATGTGGAGAGAGAAAAAGCCCAGAATTAGCAGAGAACTCCTTAAGAAGAAGGACACAGTTGAAAGAATCACCTTAGCTGGTTTTAACACCTACTACACAGCCACAGTGGTCAAAACAATGTGCTACTGTAACAATGACAGATACTCAGACCAATGGAAAATAGAAAACTCAGAAATAAAACCATCATCATATAGACAACTGATCTTCGACAAAGGCCCAAAAAACATCAAGTGGGAGATGGATGCCCTCTTTAACAAGTGGTGCTGGAAACAATGGATATCCACATGTAGAAAAATGAAACAAGATGTCTATCTCACCCCATGCACAAGAACAAACTCAAGGTGGATCACTGACCTAGAAGTAAACCCCCAAATTATCAGGATCATCAATGAAGGAACCGGGATAAACCCAAGAACTTTGGCCCAGGGAATACATAGGCTAACTGCAATAAGGAAGGGTACACACACAGGTGAGCCTGAAATCAACAAGTGTGATATACTAAGGACAAAACACCTGGGTGCATGTAAAGACTTCATCAGGAGAGTAACAAGAGAAGCCACAGACTGGGAGAGGATTTTTAGCAATGATGGCAAAGGGATTATTAATTACTAAAGTCTACAATACCCTCCAACTCTGCAAAAAGAAGAAAACAGTTGCCCGAGAAAGTGGGCAAAAGACTTGAATGGTAGTTTCACTAGGGAGGAGACCCAATTGACCAATAAACATATGAGAAAATGCTCTTGATTATTAACCATCAAAGAAATGCAAATTAAAACAACCATGAGATACCACCTAACATAAGGTGACCAGATGTTAATAGTGGTAAAGTGGGACACCATTGATAAAACTCATATACTGGCAAAATAGCCACATGGCAGCTGAAAACCGTATGCCCTAGCTTGTCATGCACTCTTTAAAAAAATCGGGACTTTTTAAAAACGCCACGGGATGCGGGAAAAATTGTTAAAAATTGGGACTGTCCAGCCAAAAGCAGGACATCTGGTCACCTTAAAAGACCCAGAGAGTAACAAATGTTGAAGGGGATGTGGCAAGATAGGAACTCTCCTCCACTGCTGGTGGTCGTGTAGAAACGTGCAGCCTCTGTGGAAAGCAATCTGGCGATATTTAATGCAAATGGATATTGAGCTACCTTATGACCGAGCTATCCCCCTACGAGGCATATAATCCCAGAAGATGTAAGAAGTAGACCATGACCAGTCATCTGTATCCCAATGTTTATTGTGGTGCACTTCACAATCACAAAGGACTGGAAACAACTTAAATTTCCATCGATAGATGAGTGGATTACAAAGCTCTGGCACATACACACAATGGAGTAGGACATATCACTATAAATGATCGCTTGAAGCACATTGCCTCAAGGGAAGAGTTAGCGGAAATTATGCTAAGCGAACTTAGCTAATCACAAAAGTTCAAGTACAACGTGAGTCCACTGAGGTAAGTATATTCAACACAGTAGGCATAGAAGAAAAACCACTTATCTCACACAAAACAGGTTAAGGTACAGGCAGTCGGGTGGAGGACAGGCCCAACCCATTCCAACATAAAGAAAGGGAAGCGGGGAGGAAGAGGGGGGAGACAATGGCTCTGGGGAGCAGGGCAATAACCCACCCAGGGGGAGAGTATTGGCTATTCCACCAAAGAATTGGGGGTGTGTATAGAGACCAAAAGACAGCGCACCTAACCTTGAGGGCAACGTTACCATGAACAGAGTGGGCTACAGGGCCAGCCCCAATCAGAGGCAAACTGACCCCCCTCCCTAAAAGTATGTGCTACAGAGGACAACACTAAACCTACAGGCTGGGGAGAGAGGGTGGCCTCCCAAACCCATACATAATCAAACCAAGAAGGAAAAAGAGAGAGTGAGGCTCTAGACCCCATATTGGCACACAAGTCCTGAGGAGAACGTCCCTATGTGGTGCTGTTAAGGCACACAGAGGGCCGACATCAGTTCAAGACATGATGACCCCTCTCTGGAGCATACCGCGAGAGGACAATACTGAGGACACACGGTGGGGAATGAATCCAGACAGAACTCCTCCCCCCACGCCCACAGCAGGGCAAACCAAGAAAGGAACATAACCAATCAGCAACAGGAACAAAGCAAAGCCACAAAGTTCCTGAGAAGCCCAGAAAATAGCAAATGTGATGGAGAAAGCTGATGGTACCCAGCTATCAAAAGGCTTGAAGTTAAGCCTTCTAGCAGAGAAGCAACAAGTCCACATGGAAGAAGCACACCAGCCTGTGTGATCATGGGTGTCAACAGGATCAGGTACAGACATCAGAAGACCCAAAACAAACAAACAAAACATACTGTTGAGAAAGTGGGGGGTCGGAGCAAAGACCCAAAACCCATCTGTACACAATGGGACATCCCCTCACAAAAGGGTCACAAGGAAGGGATGAGTCCAAGAAGGTGAAGTATAGCACCAATGAAACACAATATTCCTCTGGTTCCCTGAGGCTTCCTCACCACCACCACCACGCCACTATCATGACCCCAATCCTGCCTTTCACTGTGAGCTAGAACGGAACATGTACACTGGTATAGATAAGAGCTCAAGACACACAGAAGTCTGGTCAGATAAACTTCTCAGGAACAGAAATGGGGGCAGTGATACCATAAGGGTAGGGTTTAGGTGGGGAGAGGAGGAGGGATGAAACCTCAGAAGGGAGACAGGTTCCATGTAAGATATGAAAATAATAATAATTTATCATTTATCAAGGGGTCACGAGGGTGGGAGGGGGGAAGGGAGGGTAAAAAGAGGAGCTGATACCAAGGGCGCAAACAGAATGCAATGCTTAGAAAATAATGATGGCAACATATGTACAAATATGCTTGATATAACTGATGTATGGATTGTTATAAGAGCTGTAAGAGCCCCCAATAAAATGATTTTTTTAAATTCATTTTATTAGAGGCTCATACAACTCTTATCACAATCCATACACACATCAATTGTGTAAAGCGCATTTGTACATTCATTGCCCTAAAATGATTTTTTAAAGTTTACAAATCTCTATTATAAAAATTAAGTCCTCTGATTAAAATTTTTAAAGTGGCCAGTTTTAACAGTCTACTTCTTAAAATGAACACCAGTACTATATATTAAATCAATGTTTTAGCATCGGCATTCTGGATCCAAATAAAATCTGCAAAATGCATGTTTTTACATACCCCAATCCACTGCCATCGAGTCAATTCTAACCAAGTGAACACCCAGTGCCTACCAACAGTGCTACCAGGGTTCCGTACCATCTCAGAGGGTAATATTAAAATATATGCACAGAGTATTGTCTCTAGTGAAATGAATTCTTAGGACGTTCGGAACCAGTTCTAGCTTCAACGGATAAAGTAAAAAACAAATCATTTTTATTTGTAGCAAGTGCAACTAACAGCAAGTACCCGTACCTCCTCTTCTTCTGCTACTTGTGATTCTCGGAGAGCCGTTGGAAACACGCGAGGGGTAAAGCTGATTTTAATATTGCCGACAGAGCGAGGACCAGGAACACTGTCTTCCTTTAACTTCTCAGAAAATATATTTTCTGAATTTATCCCTTCAAAAACAACATCAACAAGTCATTTACTGCTCACTTTCAAAACTGGCAAACAAACCGACATCTTAAAGTGATGGCAAACCAAAGATGTTTTCTGCGAGAACGAATGTAACATGCACCACATAGCAGCTAATGGTCTCTTCTTGAACTAATGACTCCAGCTTATTTTCTGAGGTGTCCACTTTACGTCGACTTTAACAAAGGCGGATTTTCATTTACGCAAAAGCTATCCCTGCCATGGGATTTTCAATTGCCTCGTATCGTGTGAAAGTTGGACGATGAGTAAGAAAGACCTAAGGAAAATGAGTGCATTTGACATACAATGCTGGTGAGGAATGCCGAAAGTACCACGGATACCAAAAGAACAAGCAAATCTGTCTGGGAAGAAGTACAGCCAGAATGCTCCTTAGAGGCAAGGGTGGCCAGACTTCATCTCAGACACTTTGGACATGTTATCAGGAGAGACCAATTCTTGAAAATGGACATCATGCTTGGTAAAGTAGAGGGACAGCGAAAAAGAGGAAGACGCTGGACAGAGGGACTGACACGGTGGCTGCAACTATGGGTTCAAACGTAAGAATAACGGAGGGTGGGACAGGATGGGCAGGGTTTCCTTCGGTTGTCCATCAGGGTTGCTGAGTCAGACGGATTCAATGGCACTCAACAACGATGTCCCTGCCAACATCGCCTTTACTTCCCTAAACTCCTAAAGCAAAATATCCCATAAATCGCATCCAAAGTTTTTATTTTATTTTATTTCTCAATGGACATATTTTGCTTTTCATTTTAACTTATTAAACAGCCCAATAACAGCAAAATTTGTCTTGGGGTCTTGATTTTTAGGCCTGTTCCTGGGGTCACACTGAACACTGATTTAGAAAATTGCATTGGATAAGGCACACCAGTTTGTTTCTTTATTGTTAAGGTTTTAACATATCAGTAACACGGTTAGATCCCTTAACTCCTGGCAAGCCTATGCACAATAGGCTTGGAGTATTATTCATAGGGTTTTCATTGACTGACTTTCAGAAGTAGATTAGCAGGCCTTTCCACTTAGTCTGGAAGTCTTGCTGAAACCTGTTCAACATAATTGAAAAAGAAATAAATAACTCACTGCCATCAAGCCAATTCCAACTCATGGCAGTATACAAGTCTCAACTTATAAATGAGTGGTGGCTACATTTGAGGCACACTGATTAGGGATTAAACCCAAGACTCCAGCATGGTAGGCAAGACCTCTAGTTCTAAATCATCCCCGCCCTCACATAGATAAGGAGAGATCATCTTCTTGATTAGGTTATAAGACAGATAAATACCAACAGTAAATAAAAAGCAGCTAAATATATACCATACACGTGGTTCATTAAATTAAAAATGTATCACTTAATATAGACCAAGAGACAGAATAAGTTCCAAAATTCACTCACTTCCTTGAAATGGTGTAATAGTTTTCCAGTCATTGGAAACAGGTAATAAGAGTTGGCGAAAGACATTAACTGTGGGATTCAGAAAGGATTTCCCCCAGGCTGTCCCCCGACCCCCCCTAATATTATATGCCAAACTTAAGACGCTGCTTGCAACACATGGTAAATGACTCTATACTTGGAGCTCAACTGCTTAGAGTTTCTCTCTCTGAAGGTATCAGCCATCTAGAACAAACAGACTCTACAGTCTGTCCCACCCTAAGTAGGACCCACTCTGCTGATAGGGGTAGTGGATTGTTTCCCTGAAGGAGAGCCGAAAGACAAGGGCAAGCCAACTCAAGGAGGACCAAGGTTAGGTTGCCATCTTGAATCTAGGATCCACCCATCTTGTCACATATATGCATGCCCCAGTGCCTCCCCTTCCTATTGCATATATACCCCTAACTCATCCCCCTCCTACCGCATGTATATCTATGGTACAACCCCTTCCTGTTATGATGTAATCAGGGGGTCTTGCATGTCCCCAAAAATGTATATAAGCCGTGATAGGAAATATATTCTCTCTCCCCCAGAGGGACACCCCTTGAGCCAAGCCTCAAAGCCCCAGGACTGGCTGGGAGTGGGGAATAAATATGTTCTTCAGATGTTCTTGAAATTCAAGTGGGAAAGACTCAAGGTCATATTTTGACTTCCGTGGGCTTGGTTTAAATTTCTTTAGCTTCAAACTGAATTTATTTATGAGCACTTGATGGTCTGGTTTTAGTGGCGGATACTGAGCTTCTCCACTGCCTCTCCCCACAGATGGAGTCAATTTGACTTCTGTGTATTCCATCTGGAAAGTTCCTCGGGTGTAGCTGAAAAACAGTATCTGCAGTGAACAAGTCATTTGTCTTGCAAAATTCTATCATGCGGTCCTATGTTTCTATCACCAAGGCTCCAACGTTGGCATTAGAATCGCCAATAATTATCAATGCCCCTTGATTGCATGTTTGATCAACTTCAGACTAAAGATGTTGGTAAAATTCTTCAATTTCTTCATCATTAGTTTTAGTGGTGTATAATTTGAACAACAGCTGTATTGACTGTAGTTCCATTTATAAACATACATTATCCTATCATGGGCAGAACTGTACTTCAAGATAGATCTTGAAATGTCCTTCCTGACAATGAATGAGACACCGAAACTCTTAACTGTTTCATTCCCAGGATAGTAAACCATGACTCTCTGATTGAAAATGGTTAATACCAAATTTTTTTCAGCTCACGAATGCCTAGAATATTGATCTTTATGCGCTCCACTTCATTTTCAATAACAAATTTCCTAGATTCATACATTCCAAGTTTCAATTACTGATCATTTCAGCTGTTTCTTCTCATTTTAGTTGTGCCCCATCAGCAAATGACGGTTCCACAGGCTTTATCCCTGCAGGCTTCCATCGATCTGCATCTTTATGGTTAGCTCTACTTTCAGAAGGCAGCTTTTCCTCAGTCATAGTTCGAGTGCCTTCTAACCCGAGGGGCTCAGCTTCTGGCACGATCTCTGGAAATATTCTGCTTTTGTCCATTAGGAGTTCAGTAACTGACACTGTTCATAAGGTTTCCGGCACCTCATTCCTTGAAGTAGGCATCCTAGTCCTTCTTTGTAGTCTGTTCTCAGTCTGGAAGCTCTGCTAAAACCTTTCACCCTGGGTGACCCTGGTATGAAAGTGAGACATTGAATAAGGAAGACTGAAGAATAGATGCATTTGAATTGTGGTGCTGGGGAAGAATATTGAAAGTACCGTGCACTACCAAAAGGACAAGTAAATCTGTCTTGGAAGAAGTATGGCCAGAGTGCTCCTTAGAGGCAAGGATCGATAGGCTTTGTCTCACACACCTTGGACATGTGGTCAGGAGAGACCAGTCCTAGGGAAGGATACAGGCTTGGTAAAGTAAAGGGGCAGCAAAAGAGAATGGCCCTCAATGACATGGGTTGACATAGTGGCTGCAACAATGAGCTCAAATTCGGGAACAGATGTGAGGAAGGCTCAGGACCAAGCAGTGTTTTGTTTTGTTTTGTTTTGTTGTGCATAGTCATGATGGGTCAGAACACGGACTCGGTGGCACCTAGCAACAATAACATAAGTTGTCCAGAGGCTCTGGTGGCAATGCCAGGTAACTGCGAACCACCCTCTGCTGATGGGAGCAAGATAAGACTACCTGCTCCTATAAAGATTTACGGACTTAAGAAATCCCAGGTAGGGCTGCTGTCAGAATCCACTCCTAGGTAGCTGGTCTGTTTACATCAGCCTCAAGGGTTCCATTTTACTTGGATCTACAATCATGTGAGCAGCAGTCAAGAGATCAAACCACCTATTGCGATATTGAGCAACTCGGCCGCAAAGAGTCATCCTACTTGATAAAGTAGAGGGTCAGCAACACCGATGAAAACCCTCAATGAGATGAGAGGTAGAGTGGCCACAACAAGGGGCTCAAATAGGGCAACCATGCTGACGACTGCACAGAGTAGGGCCGTGTTGTACGTCAGGTCACAAGCTGTCAGAACCAACTTGACAGCAGCTAACAACGAAAACAACTCGTGGATCTGCCATCAAAGGAGACACTGAATCTTTGCTTATTTTCTTAAGAAAAACACAAATACTCCCTGGTAAAACGAGTCTTTCGCTTTAGTTTGTGCATTGTATTACTTAAACTCAATGCACCAAAATAATGTCCCAAACTACAAGTTAGATTTTTCTTACGTATCATATATACTTCAGCATAAGACCCACTGTCTTAGAAAATACTAGTCATTATACCTTTTGTGGCAAGATTTCTAGATGTCAAATTTCTACAAAGACTTTTTTTATTTTTTAACATTTTTCTTTCTTCTTTAACTTGCTTTTCTGGTTGACACAATTTCTCTTCTTTCTGCATTTTTTTCTGTTCGGCTTCCTTTTGATGTTCTTTCCAGGCTTCCAATTCTTTAGTTGCTTTTATCCGCTCATTCTCTTTCATAGCTTCTATATTTTTCCTCTTTTCTTCATCAATCTGGAAAAATTACATTGACCAAATCCTTTGTTAGCATAGAAAAAGCAATATTTCTTTGCAGAGTAAGAAATTCATTGTGACAATTATTGTCACTGCTAACTCTTGCCTCTGGCCTTTATAGCTAAAGCAACCGTCAGTAGTGGTTATGGACTGAACTGTGTACGTATGTCCCACCTTCCTCCTCCTAAAAAAAGGCACAATCTTGTTTTTAACACCTGAATCTGGGAAAGTGACCTTGTATGGAAAGTCCTAATTGTTTGGGCCAGGTGCAGACCAAGGCAGCCACTTGTGCCAGCTTCTCAAGAAGACAAATGACCTGGCTGAACTTCCAAGCACCTGAACTCCAAAGTGTTTCACAGAGCTTACCTCCCGGACAGAACACAGCCGCCCTCTCCCCAGCATTGTTTCCTAGGAAGAACATGATTTACTAACCAAACGTCACGTGGCCTAAAACTTGCAACCAGAGCACAAAGAACCTCCCTTCCCCTTACTGGCTCATATGCCTTTAAGCTCATACCCTATACATGGCCCACCGCCCCAGTACCAGGTACGATTTCCCTGATCTAACTCATTGGGTCAAGGAACCCGTCCGGAGGCTCAAGATGCCCCTGACCCTTTCCCTGCTCTCCCTTCCCTCCCAGGAGTTCTTTCCCTGCCTCAATAAAATCGTTCTCAACTTCATATTCCTGCCTAAATTCTATCTCTGTTCCACATCTCTGTCTCCAACCTTTCACTAATCCCTTTGAATATGTCTATGAAAAGGGAGAACAGACAAAGAGATGATGTTACACAGGGGGAAGACGGAAACCATTTAACCATACATCTATAAACCAAGCAACACAAGACATGCCTCGGGCTACCAGGAGTTGGATAAGACAAAGAACTATCTTCCCCTAGGATGGACAGGAAAAATACTGCTTTGACCTGAATTTAGACTCTTAGACTCCAGAATTGTGAGGCAATAAATTTCTATTTCTTAAAGCCAGTCACTAGTTATAACAGCCCTAGGGAACTAAGAGAGAAATAGATAAATAATTAAACTTAAAATAGGAAGAGTACCTAGTTTAATACAATGACCATTGATTGAGGGTCATGGACCACAGGTTTTAGTTCCAGATCCACCTTGAAGTATCAATAGGATCTTGGGTAATCATTCTCTCTTGCCTCATTTTACAACTAAATTGAATCCAAGGGCTTGGTGAAAATTAGGTAAGAACACATTATTCTAAAAGTTAAGTCGCTCCTATCAAAAACACACAAACACTTGCCTTGCCTTATCTTAAGAAGGAAGTCATGCCAATCCTCACCAGCGGAGTGAGTGAATTTTTGGATATATATAAAGGCTGAACTGGTGAGAGTTGTGTGCACTGGATAGAAATGTTTGAATTCTCCCCCCTGCCCCTTCTCCCATCCCCTGTTGAGGATTTTTAAAAAATCATTTTATTGGGGGCTTGTACAACTCTCATCAGAATTCATACATACAGCCATTGTGTCAAACACTTTGTACATTTGTTGCCATCATCATTCTCAAAACATTTGCTTTCTACTTGAGCCTTTGGTATCAGGCTCCTCATTTTTTTCCCTTCCCTTCCCTCACCCTCACTCCCTCACAAACCCTTGATAATTTATAAATTATTATTTTGTTATGTCTTATACTGTCCAATGTCTCCCTTCACCCACTTTTCTGTTTTCTGTCCCCCAGGGAGGGGGTTATATGTAGATCATTGTGATCGGTTTCCCCTTTCTCCCCCACCTTCCCCTTCCCCCCGTGGTATTTAGACGCTCATTATGGGTCCTGAGGGGTTTATCTGTCCTGGATTCCCTGTGTTTCCAGCTCTGATCTGTACCAGTGTGCATTCTTTGGTCTAGCTGGATTTGTAAGGTAGAACTGAGATCATAATAGTGGGGGAGAGGAAGCATTAAAGAACTACTAGAGGAATGTTGTATGTTTCATTGGTGCTATACTGCACCCTGACTGGCTTGTCTCCTCCCCACGACCCTTCTGTAAGGGGATGTCCAGTTGCCTACAGATAGGCTTTGGGTCTCCACTCCGCACTCCCCGTCATTTCACAATGATATGATTTTTTGTTCTTTGATGCCTAATACCTGATCCCATTGACACCTCATGATGATACCGGCTGGCATGCTTCTTTCATGTGGGCTTTGTTGCTTCCCTGCTAAATGGTCACTTGTTTAACTTCAAGCCTTTAAGACCCCAGGTGCTATATCTTCTAATAGCTGGGCAACATCAGCTTTCTTCACATTTGCTTATGCACCCATTTTGACTTCAGTGATCATGTCGGGAAGGTGAGCATCACAAAATACCAGGTTATTAGAACAAAGTGTTTTTGCGTTGAGGGAGGATTTGAGTAGAGGCCCAATGTCCATCTGCCACCTTGATACTTAACGTATAAATATATGTACATAGCCCTATATCCCTAATCCTTATATATTAATATATTTCCATTTATGCATACCCATATTTATACCCATAAATGTCTTTTGCCTCCTACTTCTTTCCTCTATTTACTTTTACTTTCCTCCTGTCCCACTATTATGTTTGACTTTCATTTGGCTGTCAATAATTCCTCTGGGCTACATTGCACTTGATCAAACCCACCAGGCATTCTACATCCTTGTCCCCATCAATTTTAGGTCTCTTGTTGTTCCCTTGTCCCTGGGTTTGTTGGCTCCCCACTCCCTTCCTCCACCTCCCCCACTCCCCTGTCTCCCTGGATGGTTGTTCTTGTTGTTTTCTCCTCAGGGCTGTTTATCTTGCCTATCTTATATAGAAAGACATAAAAGAAGAAGAAGAAAAGGGTCTCCTATAAATTGTTCCTGGTCTGTCTGCTGACCCTTACGAATGTTGAGGAAATGCATCTCTAACTCAGATTTCACTAATATAAAATTATATTTAGATTTAAGCAGTACAGCTCTCCAGAGGGACATGCTGGGATGACATTTCCTGGAGGTTGTTATTTTAGGGTACAAATATAACAGGAAATGTACGAGAACTGTGTGCTCCACAGTGCTCTGCAACACTGGCATCCCGGAGTGGGCTTTTCTGAAAGGATGACTGTGTGTTTTCCAGTTGAGCTGTGAGACTCTGGCTTTAAAACACAGGAGGTTGAAAGATGAGTTCCTGACATCCCCAGAATTGCAGTTAACGTCTAAAATAAGCACACAAGAGGCTAATTAGAGAGTTCTAAGTTCAGTGAGCTGGCCAGGGAGGATCCAGCCTGGGGTGGGGGAAGCCAGGACACAGCCTGGAGACTTCATGAGAGAACCAGCATTTAAACGTTGAGCAAAAGCATGGTTAACTGTGTCAGCCAGAGAGGCAGCCACAACCTAACAGAGAAGTCAGCAATTGCACCCAGTTAAAACTACAACATTTCCCTGTCTAACTCTGCCCCAACAACACCAGGGGAAAGTCTGGGAAAGTCAGGATACAGGTAGCCCCAACTAACAATGAACTTACAATGAGAAGCACTTAGGACCATCTGTTTCATTTTCATCTGTACATCTTATCATTAATAGCACATATTCTTTATTGTACATCTTATTGTTATTAATAAATATTAAATACAATATTGCAGCACATATTTTTTATAATATCACTCTCAAATGTTCATGTGCAGATGGCCAAAGAGTTACAAAGATACTGATAATAAAAGGCAATAGTAATGAAAACCAGTGAGAAATTTAATGTAGAGACTCTAAGAGCGGGAGACACAGAAGGTCTGTGTTAAGTCATACAAACAAGAAAAGTGTGCACTTTTGAGGAATACCTGAGAAAGTCCAGCATAAAGTGAAAGCCAAGGGAGGCTGAAAAGCTGCTTGCAATTGTGATTGTAGTTCCAAACGCACATGCAGCCAAGAGTGAAAGCCTCAGAGGGCCAAGTCTTCACCACTTCTGCCCAAATCATTAGTGAAGCAGACGCAGTGTGGTTTCTAAGAAAGCCCATCTAAAAGACGGAAGTAAGAATTTTACAGTGGAGCAGACACATCAATAGCTTTATACCACAGGGAAGACTGACTTTACAATGTAAGTCCAGGAATGTTAACTGAAAAAGGGTTGTTTTAAGCAATCCTCAGAAGAAATACCTAAACAAAGAGAACCTAGAGTTGTAAATAATCAATTAATGAAAATGTCTGTCGACCAACTATTTCAAGAAATTGGTAACAACTCTCCAAATTTGACCACAAAATAAGTCTACAGGTCCAAGAAGTTCAGTAGCACCCAACATCAGGGAAACACAATCAGAGCCACGTCCAGACTAACCGAGTCCGACTGCAAGGTGGCAGAGAGTCACGGACAAAGAGGAAAGTCTTGAAAGCAGCAGGGGAAAACACCTTCTCAAGCACAGGGCAGTCAAACTACGGCTAAAAGCCGACACCTCATCAGAAGCAAGAGCAGAAGGCAGTCAATGGCATATGCACCGGTTTCTAATGTGCTGGCATCATGAGTTGGTGCAATGGACAAGTTCATAGAAAACCATCAGTTACTAAACCCTGATTCTAAAAACTAGACACTCTGAAAAAAAAGAAAAAAAAATGAAAGTGGTAACCCAAAAAAGAACAAGGAAAAAATCAAAAAAAGAAAAATTAAAAAAAAAAAATACAGACTTAAACAAACTCCTTCGTGTAAGAAAGAGAAGTTAAAGGCTTATTGGAAGGAAGAAGTAAAACTATGAATATACAAAATGATGTCTCTATAAATTCCACTGGTCTAACCCCCACCCCTCAAAAGAACACACCCAAACTCACTGGCAGTTCAATGCTAGCTCACAGCAACCCTAATGGAGTTTCTAAGGCTGTGCTCTTAAAGGAGCAGAGTGCCACCAACTTCACCCATAGCACAGCTGGTGGGTTCAAACAGTCCACCTTGTTTGTTTGTTGTACCACCAGGGCTCAGTATATCGATACAAGTGAGTCAGTAATAAAGCAGAACAAACTACTACTGCATGCAGTAACATGATGAACCTCCAAAACATTATGTAAACTCTAAGAAGCCACACCCAGAAGACTATATATTATGTGATTCCATTTATATGAAATTTCTAGAAAAGGCCAAATTATTTAGAGACAAAAAGTGGTTATATAGAAGGTTACTATTAATTCAAAAGCCAAAGAATCAGAGCCTCGTAGAGCTCTAGACTCCTTAATCAAGAGGAGGAGGTAGCTCAAGTTCAAGTTTCACCTGGATAAAATGTTCAAGGAAGTTGTTGAGGGTCAATCAAATCAGCATGACAATCTCCAGCTTTCTCTCAAGCAAAAACCACAATCAGCAAGTTCTTCCAACATTAAGATACTTTTCTCCTATCAAAGTGTCATTTCAAGATATCACATGAGAACTTGAGATAAGAAACTACTTTAAAAATTATTTTTTCAGAATAGGCAAATTGAGGGACAGGTTCACCAGTCTTAACAGAAGAACAACCAAAATGTTCCTGAGAAGCAAGACTGGCCGGACTTGACCTTCCAATTCAGCAGAGAGGTGGCATGGCACAGGAGGGACAGTGGTGTCTGAATAGAGTAAAAGAAGAACAGAGGGAGGAGGCATGTCTGACCTCTGCCTGGTGGCAGTGAGCCTTGAGCTGGTGCAAAATGGACTCTCTTCCCTTGGGTAGTGGAAGGGGGTCAGAGATGGCCCCCTGGTTATTTTCTCAGAATTTTTGAGGCCACCTCATATATGGCTGATTAACTCTTTACTTGAAAATCTCAAGTTAAAAGGTAAACATTTTGTCAATTTAGTGTTTAATCTATGCGTTTCTTATTTAAAATAATCTAGTACATGACTGAATGATTTAAAAAGAGACATTTACATTGTAGAAACTTTAGAATTTTTAAATCTCCTTGGAATAGGGCTTTTTTTTTTGAAACAAGAAAATCTATTGTCCAACTTTTATATCCTGGGCTTCCATAGAAATTGCTCAAGAACACATGGTAAATAGCAAATTATCTATATAATATGCTTCTATTACCAACGTATGATAGAGTGCACTGGTTAGAATAGATTATCCTGTCATTGTTTACTATTGTCTATTTAATTAGAAGACTCTCCTATCAACATGCGACTTACCTTCATCATGACACTCAGTGCATATTTCTGATCCTCCCGCTTTGCTGCGGCTTTTGCCTCTGTGGCTTCCCTTGCTGCCTCTTGTGCTTGTAAAACAGATTTTTCTCTTATTCTTTGCATCATCTCTTTGTCAACTAAAACATGAAAAATACCACCATATCAGGATTATGAAAAATGTGTTTTACTTGGGGGGAAAAAACCTACTTAAATGTCTCGTTGAAGATAAGATTTCTTTTGTCTCAACGTTACCTGGAGGAATGAGCTTATTTCTCTGTTATAAAATGATCAAGAAGGTAACATAAAAAGGTAAGCAAGTTAGTGTAATATTATGAATTGTGACAGAATAAAAGAATAGAGAAAGACGGGGGAGTAAGGGAGAGTAAGAGAAAAGGACAGAGCAAGAGGGGGCGGTGATAATGAGAGCAAGAGAAAGGATGAGGGAAGACAAGAGAGAGAAAGAGAAAGACAGAGGGGGATAATGAATGGGAGGGGAATGCATTTACCCTTGCTCTGCCAGCTGAGAAGGAAATCGCCGTGATGAGGTCTCTTCAAAGAGAAGATGAGTGGAGGACACCATATATAATCAGTCACCCACACGAGTATAAAGCGTACCGGGGAAAGTGATTAAGCAACATGATATGTTCTATGTAGAACTTTAGCACTCATAATCATTTTGATAGTCAGCGACTAAATGTTTTACAAATTACAACCCATAATCCATTAGTGGGTCAATAGTCTTAGGGAAAAAGAGAGCAGATTCTGAGGAAATGGATCTGGTCTTGGCAGAGAAAACAGGGAAGGATCGCCGAGGGAATTTAGACCCCAGAGGAAGAGGTTCAATCCAGGCCCTGGATAGGGAGGGAAGTATAAACCTTTTTTTGTGCAGCAAACCCCTGGGCAATCTAGTGAGGCCTTTATGGACCCTTTCAAATAATTTTTAAATATACAAACTAATTGTAATACATACAATTACCCCCAAAAAAGCATTTATGTTAAAATGTACTTGTAAAATATTTTTAAATAACCAGTGATAGACTACTGTGTGCTTTATTGTGAATGCATTAAATAATATAAAGCAGCAAGTCTACAAATAGTATCATTTCAAAGTAATGGTGAGTATAAAAGGCAGAAATATCTGTAATAATGAAATATCTGTAGTTTCTGTTGACACTATTGATACTTTTTATCAAGATTCATAATAGAAGGAAATATTAAATCTCAGATGTTGGGCTTATAAACACATACAATCACTGTGGAAAGCAACATGGTACTAACGAAACCAACTGGGAACAGAAATCCCATATGACGCAGCTACTACTACTACTGGGCATACACCCAAAGAGGTATGAGGCAGACCACAATCAGCTATATGCTCTCCCATGTTACCTGCAGCACAATTCACAATTGCAAGAAACTGGAAACAACCCAAACACCAAGGATTAGAAAAATGGATAAGTCTGGTATATACATATAATGGAATACTATACATCCCTTCAAAAAACCTGTGATGAAACACCTCATGACGTGGATGGACCTGGAACCCATTATGCTGACTGAAATTAGCCAATCACAAAAGGGCAACAATAGTATGAGATCACTATTATAAATATAAAAATAAACACCAAGACAAAAGCAGGCTTCTGTGCTCACGTCATCGAACTGTATATTCCAGGTTCCCAGGAAATGAGGTTGTGTGCCTGGCTAGAACTCATGAACTATATATCACCCCTTAATAGTATATATTAAAAACTATTCAACAGGGGTGGCCTCATCTCAGCTGGCCGCATTTCCATGATGCGGAGAGAGGGAAAAGACCAATCAGTTCCTGCCATGAAACATTATCTTACGGTCACCCCAAATTAACAGCCATTCCTATGAGAGTGATGAGTGCATATTACTGGAGGCCTGCGTCAGAGGTGGCAGGTAGAGGGCATGTCCGTCCTGGAGAAGGTCACTGTGCTTCAGTCAGTGGGTAAACGGGATGAGGCAGCATGCCATTCAGAAGAACACTCAGCTTTGAGTATACAGGCCACCAATGGGAGAAAAAGCTCACTATCATGCCCCTAACTGAGCACTCTTGACCTAGTTTGCATTCAGTCATGCACTACAAGTCATGTACTACAGACAACCAGGACTTTAGACTCTGTCCTTTCAATGTATACAACAACCTTCATAGACCACACGATCCGATCTGGAACGCCCACTTAGTGAACTCGACTTTTCTGCTTTGTTTTCAGTTAAGGTTTTTCTGTGTCATTCTCTCATTGTTGGGCCATTTGTCTTGATTTTTTATGTTAAACCTGTATATGAAAACCATATTAGGCAAACCAAAGAGACAACAGCTGGTGTATTAGATTCAAAGGGACATGCAGGGGAGGCTGGTAGGAAATAGGGAGCTAACAATGAGTCTGAAGAAATGTCCTGGGATGAGCCCTATAGGACCAGTGGTGTGAGTGGCAAAACAGGGAGGGTAAAGGGAGAATGGGTAGGAAAGAGGGAACCGATTACATGGAACTG